TTATAGAAGCTATTTAAAACATGAAATAAACACACACACACACACACACACACACACACCACACACATACACACACACACACACACTAAGCAAAGAGCAAAATGAAAGAAGTAAACCAACAAGAAAGTAACTGTTTAGTTTTGGGTTTGGGTTTTTTGTTGTTGTTGTCTTGTTTTGTTTAGTCAATCTTGGGGCCTGAACTCAGGGCCTGGACAATGTCCCTCAGCTCTTCAGCTCAAGGCTAGCACTTGAGCCACAGCACTACTTCCGGCTTTTTTTGCTTATGTGGTGCTGAGGAATTAAACCCAGGGTGTCATGCATGCAAGGCAAGCACTGTACCATTGAGCCACTTTCCCAGACCCTGTTTTTAAATTTAGTCTAAAAGGATCAGTAATGACATAAATCTCAATGCTATCCAAACTACCCCATTATACAAGGCATACAGACTTGTTTATTTATGTGTATGCAATTTTATGCTGTGAAAGTAAAATCAGAATAAAATACACAGATGTTTCATTCCATTATCTGCCATTTCTGGAAGCATGATGTGTTGTCTTACAATCCATTTTCTATTACGTATTTAAAAGAAAACACATTGCATTGTGAAATTTACTAAAAGTATTGAGAATTTTCTTATCCTTTCAAAAATAAAAATTGGACTGTTTCCTCACTTTAAGAACTCTTTTTTCTTAGTTTCCTCATTGTCTGAATAGGACTTTTGATTGCAGTTGTTTTGTTTTGTTTTATTTTGTGTAGGTGGCAGCATCTGTCTATGCAGTCCAGGCTGGCCTCAACCTTGCAATCTTCCTGTTGCCAGCTCTGGAGGGCGGGGATTACAGACAGTAATGTTCTGTGATATCTGATTGTTTTCTGCATTTTCACTACACTTGTCTAACTATTTTCAAACAACATTCAATATTATTTTCCTGGAATTAAATTACTAATAATCTTAAAATAGTGTTGTTTATGAGATCTTTGCCTCCATGTTCTGAAAAGAAATCATATCAAAGCCCTGTTTAAACCCTGTCTCATTATTTGGATGCCAAGTTAGATGACAGGAGTTAGGTTCATTCTCTCCGTTAATACCAATATGGTCAAACAGGGTGTGATGTTTTTGGTCAAAGAACATTTGGCTCTGCATTTTTCTTCCATTCACGTAAAACACATCACCACCACTAAACAGAAAAACAATAACAACAACAGAAACAAGTTTGGTATTACATCCAGTTAGTGTTAAAATTCAAGTAATGTTGAAAAGCCTCTTTAAACCAGGTCAATCTCTGAACACAGATTTCTTCAGATCTTTCTAATATTAAGAATTATTGTTTGGTGAACTATTACCTTGTGCTTTCAAATAACATTAATTATTTCAAAGCACTATCTAAATTCTCATGTTTGCGGGAATGTTCCCTTAAGATTAATCAAAACTCAAGCTTGCTGTTTGCAGCCCTGTGAAGGTTACTGTTATTTAGTATGCATCAATAAATAAACTTTCAATTATCGTTGTAAGCACATCCAAAAATAGCATGAGATTCAGAAGGCAATGGTGTACCCAGTAATTGTTCCAAAGAAATAATCCTGATGGATAAGATCTTTGCTTAATTTCAGACGGAATAGAAATCTTATGAAACTTAATTAGCTTTGCTAAACTATGCAGAAATACCCAGTGAAAATGGACACTGTTTTTTCTTAAACTGCATAGTCCTGGAAGAGTAATACCAACTTGTCAAAATAATTCACATATAAAGTAAATGTTTTTTTAAGCCAACAAAGGTAAATGGCACCCAACTTTTCTAAAAATTCTGAACCAAAAGCAGTTTTACTCTCATTAAAGGGTATTTTTTTCTAATAGGTTTCTTTATTAATTAAACAAACATGTCCTTTAACTGTGTGTATGTCTCTCTCTCCCCTTCCCTCTTGTTCTCTCTCTTACCCTCTCTTCCTCCCTCTTCCCCCCTATTTTTTATCTTACCAACACCGCCCCCCACCCCCGTGTGTGTGTGTGTGTGTGTGTGTGTGTGTGTGTGTGCGTGTGTGTGCGTGTGTGTGTGTGTGTGTGTGTGTGTGTGTGTTGCAGTAAATTTAGTAAATTTCGTTGCCCGGAACTTCTAAATTATTTTCTGAACCCTTCAAAACATTTTATGTAACAAAATTGTAGTTTATGCACATTCTTTTTTTTCCCTACTCAGCAGTTTGATTTTTTTTTTGAAAAAAAAAAACCTAATAGAAATTCCTTAGAAATGACTTGTAGGAATTTAATGAATTTGTAAGTCTTTTAGGCAGTTCTACATTACAGTCACATTAATATTCCTTCCTTTTTATAAGGCTTGAAGTAAATCCCATGATACTAGAAGAATTTAGATACTGATTACTTGCGATTGGTTCCTGGTGATTTGCTCTTAATAATTTCCAGTTGAATTTAATGAAAGTATGATTCCTGAAATGCTGCTTCATTAAAATTGCATCTTTTCCCCTTTAAGTGTGGTTTTGCTCATTTCACCCATTTTGCGGTGCATTTTTCTCTCCTTAGAAAGTAATGATTGAGAAGCAGAAACAATTAAGAATATCACTCTGGTTCTTCCTAGAGCTAGCTCACCCTGAGTTTCTCTAAGTGAACTAGTGTAAAGTACACTTCATCAGGAATATTGTTTTCCAATTTAGGGAGATTACTTAAAAAGAAATAAAGTTTTAAAGCATACATCTATAGAGATTTGGGAGAGCTGAGAGAAGCTCAGAGCAAAAGATCTTTTTGCCTATATGAGAGAAGTGAGGTCTTTAATAGTTTTACTAAATATACTGACATATGTGAAGGTTGATTAAGTTACACTGTGCAGCATTCAGATTTAATTTAGCTGAGTTGGTGATTTGCAAATGAATATCTACATGGATCCTTTTTAAAAATCCAAATGCAAATGAGTACAACTGCAGAAAAATATATTTGCAAATGAATCCTGTTGCTTTATTCATTTATTGTGTAATTACTGCAATCCTTCCCACCTTGTTTTCAGTATTTCTTAATCATTAAGTCGGAAGCATGACAGCAGTGCCAGCCCTGGCATGATTCTCTTTGACTAAAACCTTGTAAATTAACACAATTAGCACAGCATCATCCTGCTAATTAACTTCCAGTGTCTGGTGCAGTGGTTTTGCAAACAAGAAAGAGGGAGTCAGAAGGGAATCAACATGCTATTCTGTTACCAAACTGTGTGCTGTGTTCACATGAGCTGAGTGAGTCAAAGCTGGCCATGTTGGAAGCCAGAGTCAGGCGGTGCAGAGCTAAAGGGGTTGGGGGAGGAGAAGAGCAAGGGGTAGGAGCTGTCAGGATAGATGGTGGTAATTCAGAAGGGGGCTGAGGCCACAGATGCTTCGGTTAGACTAGGCCTCCTTCTTATCAAGAAATCTCTGCCGGAGGGCATAAGACAGTTTGCAAAATTCACTTTGGATAATATGAAAGAGATTAAGTTGGCCTGCTTAATATAGCTGTTCCAGAATAGCAAGTGTTGGAACCAAGTGGAGATTAGAATGGGATGAACCAGCCCTGGGAAATAGAACAGAGTTTCAGTGCTCTTTGGTAACTAACTATATGCTAGCCCTTGAGGCTACATTATGAATACGTATCTTTAGGCTCTGCTTTTGTAATCTGTGAAATAAGGTAATTTCTAAGGTCTCTTTATCACTTTAAAATTTTAGACTCCGACAACTCTGATTGGAATCACTTAGTATTTTCTTTCCTGTGAAAAATTATTTTATAGTTTGCTGACTAGTCAGTCATTTTACTCCAATTAGTCATCTAGCAAATGACAAAATTACCCATATGATCTCATTATCTTTGTATTCTTTGTATTCTTACAGTTTTTGCCAGGCACAATTCCTATCAAATGTGGAGTTAGAATCCACACTCTTACTTTCTATTCTCTGTTCTACCTTAGTGTCTCTCTCTCTCTCTCTCTCCCTCCCTGCCCCTCCCTCTCCCTCTTCCTCTCTCTCCCTCTCTCAATCTCTCCCTCTTGCTTGCTTGCTTTCTGCCTATCTTGTATATTCCCCCCTCCCTCTTAGTACCTTGGAGGCTACCAGAAGTGGGGGATTATAAGAGGAGAGAGAAAACTAGAAGACAGACAGACTAGTGATGCTTCTGTGGTAACTGTGAGTGTGAATGTGTGTGTGATGTGTGTGTGTACATGGTGTGAGTGTGTTTTCCAGAGTCACAGCAACAGAACTGAAAGGCAGAAAGGAGCCAGTTGTAATTCATACCGAGTTGTGGGCTTTGTGCAATGAAAGCGATGGAGCGCTGCCTGCGAGATTGCTTTGCTGCACTCCACGAAGCAGATTTGAAACTGTCGTGGACCACTTTAGATGAGAGTTGGATTATGGAATGACCTGCGATGTCTGTGTCATATTGTTCTGCCCAGAGAGCATTATACTGTGCTAACTAGGTGTTCAGTACCAAATAAGAGAGGTATCCTAGATGTGATCTGTCAGCTGTGTCTCATTTTTATATTGTTAAAATATAAAACAGAAACTGTGATGTGAAGAGACAGAATAGCTAGAGAGTGTACATGTTAATGGTATTCCATTCCAGATACCTAAAATGTGTGCCTGTTTTATTGTAAGAAACTGATTGAATTCTAATTTCACAGGAGTGTGTGTGTACATTATATGTGTGTGTCTGTGTGTACATATAGTAAATAACTTGATGGGCTTGATAGAATTCTGTGTTTATGATTTAACTTGAAAGAAATGTGGCTTTTCTGAGGTTTTCTCTTTCATTCAATTTACTTCTTTTTATACGGGGTTGAAATTTAGTCCATTTTCCAGAGTTCATTTGATGGACATCTGAATGGGTTCTACAAATTGCAGAGACCCTTGACAATGTCGATATCAGGAATGAAAGATAATAAGTCACAAAAGAAGTCAGGGGAAAGCTTTGAGCAGTTCCGATGAATGTTTAAGTAACCTAACTGTTTCCTTCTCCCTCTCCCACCTCCCCCCATGGTCCACAGGCTTGAAGATGCAGTGGACGCCGGAGCATGCCCAGTGGCCAGAACAGCACTTTGACATCACCTCAACCACTCGGTCTCCAGCCCACAAAGTTGAAGCCTACAGAGGTCATTTGCAGCGCACCTACCAGTACGCCTGGGCAAACGATGACATATCAGCTCTGACGGCATCGAACCTACTAAAAAAGTACGCAGAGAAATATTCTGGCATTTTGGAGGGTCCGGTGGACCGCCCGGTACTCAGCAACTATTCAGATGCACCATCAGGACTAGTGAATGGTCGGAAAAATGACAGCGAACCTTGGCAGCCTTCCTTGAATTCAGAAGCGGTCTACCCCATGAACTGTGTTCCGGACGTCATCACGGCCAGCAAAGCTGGAGTCAGTTCAGCCCTCCCTCCAGCAGACGTCTCTGCAAGTATAGGGAGCTCTCCCGGGGTGGCCAGCAACCTGACCGAACCTAGTTATTCCAGTAGCACCTGTGGAAGCCACACTGTACCTAGTCTTCATGCAGGGCTTTCATCTCAGGAATACGCTCCCGGATACAATGGATCATATTTACATTCTACATACAGCAGCCAGCCGGCACCTGCACTTCCTTCCCCTCATCCATCTCCTTTGCATAGCTCCGGGCTCCTGCAACCGCCACCGCCACCTCCTCCTCCGCCAGCCCTGGTCCCAGGCTACAATGGGACTTCTAACCTCTCCAGTTACAGCTATCCCTCGGCTACCTATCCTCCTCAGACTGCTGTGGGGTCTGGGTACAGCCCTGGGGGAGCGCCCCCTCCTTCAGCATACCTGCCTTCAGGAATTCCTGCTCCCACCCCCCTGCCTCCCACCACGGTTCCTGGCTACACCTACCAGGGTCATGGTTTGACACCTATTGCACCCTCGGCCAGTTCTCTCAAAAGGAAAGCTTTCTACATGGCAGGGCAAGGAGATATGGACTCCAGTTATGGAAATTACAGCTATGGCCAACAGAGATCTACACAGAGTCCTATGTACAGAATGCCCGACAACAGCATTTCAAACACCAACCGGGGGAATGGCTTTGACAGAAGTGCTGAAACATCATCCTTAGCATTTAAGCCAACGAAGCAGCTAATGTCCTCTGAACAGCAAAGGAAATTCAGCAGCCAGTCCAGTAGGGCTCTGACCCCTCCTTCCTACAGTACTGCTAAAAATTCCTTGGGCTCCAGATCCAGTGAGTCTTTTGGGAAATACACGTCGCCAGTAATGGGTGAGCATGGGGATGAGCATCGGCAGCTCCTCTCTCACCCAATGCAAGGCCCTGGACTCCGGGCAGCTACCTCATCCAACCACTCTGTGGAGGAGCAGCTGAAGAATACTGACACGCACCTCATTGACTTGGTAACCAATGAGATTATCACCCAAGGACCTCCAGTGGACTGGAATGACATTGCTGGTCTCGACCTGGTGAAGGCTGTCGTGAAAGAGGAGGTGTTATGGCCAGTGCTGAGGTCGGATGCATTCAGTGGACTCACGGCCTTACCTCGAAGCATCCTTTTGTTTGGGCCTCGGGGAACAGGCAAAACCTTATTGGGCAGATGCATAGCAAGTCAGCTGGGGGCCACCTTTTTTAAAATTGCCGGCTCAGGACTGATCGCCAAGTGGTTAGGAGAAGCCGAAAAAATCATCCACGCCTCCTTTCTTGTGGCCAGGTGTCGCCAGCCCTCAGTGATTTTTGTTAGTGACATTGATATGCTTCTCTCTTCCCAAGTGGGTGAGGAGCACAGTCCAGTCAATCGGATGAGAACCGAATTTCTGATGCAGCTGGACACTGTACTAACTTCAGCTGAGGACCAAATCGTAGTAATTTGTGCCACCAGTAAACCAGAAGAAATAGATGAATCTCTTCGGAGGTACTTCATGAAACGACTTTTAATCCCACTTCCTGACAGCACAGCGAGGCACCAGATAATAGTACAACTGCTCTCACAGCACAATTACTGTCTCAATGACAAGGAGTTTGCACTGCTCGTCCAGCGCACAGAAGGCTTTTCTGGACTAGACGTGGCTCATTTGTGTCAGGAAGCAGCAGTGGGCCCCCTCCATGCTATGCCAGCCACAGACCTTTCAGCCATTATGCCCAGCCAGTTGAGGCCCGTTACATATCAAGACTTTGAAAATGCTTTCTGCAAGATTCAGCCTAGCATATCTCAAAAAGAGCTTGATATGTATGTTGAATGGAATAAAATGTTTGGTTGCAGTCAGTGATAACGTCTTTAAAAAAAAATGTAATGAATGTTGGCACACACACATAAAACCTGCTACGTAGGGAATAGAGCCCCTTCCCAGTAGTGTTTAAATTGCAAAGGGCACTGGGGAAGACAACAATTAAGTGGCATCTTTAGAGTCAGGGTAGATTTGGAGGAAAAGTACATCAAATGAGAGCTTCCGATTTGAAAGCCCCAGATGACAGAAAGCATATGTGGATGCTCAGTTCCGTTCAAACTAGACAACACTCACCAAGGAGCAAGGAGCAAGGTGCAAGTGTGTTGATTTCAGAAGGACATGAACCTCGTGTGTTGATTCCATTCTGCTGTTCTCGAGATTTAGTTGCTGTCAAGTGCCTGGAGTGGTGCTTTATTTTTTGTTTGCCTCACAATTACATTGGTGGCATGTGCTAATATAAAGAGCTTTAACTTCAAACATTATTGGACTAAAGAGATGAACGGTTGTGTTATGACAGAAAACCAGATTTTTGCCATTTTAAGAGCAACAGTATTCCTCAATCCTGTCTGTTCTGCAGTATTAAGCTAAGAACAGGTAAAACAGGGTAAACGGTAATCTGGACCTTAATTTCTGCAGTTCATTTCTTTTAATGTTCTTGTCTGCAAAAACTCAGGAAAGTGATTGTGATTTGTACAGTACCTCAAAGGAATGTGTTGAAAGCACTATGTACTGCTGAGAGTAATAGGATAGGCTTCAATGTTACTTTATATTAAGATGTATGTTTACCTCAACAATTGGAAAATAGCAAGGAAATTACTTTGAATGTATCCAGAAAAAAAAAATACTGAGTGTGATACAACTGAATATTTACAACTTAAAATAGAAATGGAAGGATTTTTTTTTTAAGTTCTTTACTAAGTATGGGAAATTAATCAGAGCAGGTAATTCTTTATGTCAATAACTGCAAGAGTTCTTAGTACATTGCTCCTTGATAATTAAGTGAAAATGTTCTTAAAAGGTACACTGGTTAATGAAAACTACTCATTCAGTTTGTGTTAGTATCTAGAAAAGTCAGCTGCAGACTTGTTTAGGGCCCTGAAAGTCACATTACTCAAAAACTATAACTGCCTTTTACTGCTTAAGTGGTATGGTTGGTGAGGTGGTGGTGGTGGTGGTGGTGGTAGTGATGGTGGTGATGGTAGTGGTGGTGGTAGTTTTCAAGTTATCTCTGATCTGCTGGGAATGGTGTCATTCTGTTCACTGATCTAGTTTATAGGCTTACTGTGCTTTTGAAAAAAAAAACGCACAGGATAGCAACCCAAACAAACACACAAATAAGTTTTTTTTAAAGCAAAACAAAAGGCAACCAACCAACTGATATGGATCTATGAGGGACCTCTACAGCCCATCTGCTTTTTTACTTACTCTTGTTCGTGCAATTTTTCCTTCTCATTTTGATATCTGGGTGTAGTGCTCCTGCGTTCATTTCTACCTCAGTTTTGTTATATTTCTCTTGGAAAGTAAAGTGAAAAATTGGAAGTGGACGCGCATGCACACACATACATACACACACACTCACACTCACTCTCACCCACACACACACACACAGTATAGCTTGCCAAATACGTTACTTTCTATTTCCCAAAATACCAGTATGTGTACTTCCACCGTCTCCCTTCCACAGGATATGTGGTATTTTTCTGACTTTTCCATTCCTCTCCTGCTTCCTACCAAGTTGTTCTTTGTATCCTTGAATGCTTTATGTGCAACTTTTCATTGAAAGCTGGCTGATGGTCGCCAATGTCTCTGGACAGTCACAGTGCAGGTAGTAGCTTTCCAAAGCCACTGCCCCATGCATAAACAGAGCAGCCTAGCGTTTTGAATGTATTTTTCTTGTTCTTTCTTTATTTTATTTTATTTTAGTTTAGAGATGCAGTAACAAAACTATTGCAAAGCACTGGCATTTTATGTATTCAATAAGTGATGTATATTTTAAAAATTAAATAAATGCAATGAGAAGCCCCAAGAAAGGTCTTCCTGTTATTTGTCTTTCCTTCAAAAAATTTTTATTGAGCTTCTCCACACTGTCAAATTATCTGAAATATTTAACATAGAGAAAACTAATGAGGGACGATGATAGCTCTGAAATTTTATGATGCTTAACTATAAATCCTGCCCCCTCTTTTGAAAATTTTTTATGTTGTCAAAAACTCAGCAAATGAACCAGAATTTAATTTGCTGTAATAGCCTATCAAACTAAAACTGTGCTTATATATAAATATTCCATATTAAAAATCAGTGCCTTTCATTAAGGATACAAAAAATAATACTTAAATATGTCCTCTGCTTTTCGCAAGTGAATAAACTCTCCAATCATGTTCTGGGTCTACCATGTATATCCCTTGAGGTAAAGAAATTCGAGCATTCACATTAACTCTTGGTTCATATTGATCTCAGTGACAAGTTTACTTTTGCACAGTGCTGACCTATTTTCTATCTTTTAGACATTACATCTCATTTCCACCAACATGCTGTGTTCACTTGAAAGCATCTGGCAAGTTTTGACAAACCCATTCTTATTTAGACGACTTTGGAAAATCCAATGTTGACCCACATTTTTTGTGTGTATGTGGCTAGCGAGACTTAAATGCCAAAAAAAAAAAAAAAAGGAAAGAAAAGAAAAAAGAAAACATGGCTGCACTATTGTAATTCATACTCATACACCTGGAAAATAAAGTGAAGTCATCTATATTGGCTTTTAGCTTTAAATGAATTAATGATTCGTTTAAGATATGAGTGTTCACAATC